ACCCCGCGTCTCCTGCATCGGCAGGCGGACTCTCAAGCACTGCGCCACCAGGGAAGCCCCACTCCTTTTTAATAACCTGGAAGGATCTCCTTGGATACTGAAGCATGTGTCTGTTGGCACAAAGAACTATTGGTGCCTTGGAATTTGAATGATGGCTTTCAGAGCCTCATTGTTTCTGATCCTAAACTGTGTTTGACTTGACACTCGGCTCTGAATTTTCATTTCAGCTGGAGTTGGTCCTGGCAAGCCCTGCTCTTCACCAGTCCTGACTTTCACCTGCTGTTTCCAGTTCTCCACGGAGTGGATTTACACCGTGACCCCAAGACTTGAAAGTGGGCTGTGAGCTGACTGGGTGTAGTCACCACCCCAGTTTTTAAATTTGCAAGGCTTGGTACCCAGTTTCATTCTACTTTAGTGATTACTTGCTCCCACTCTTTCTCCTGTTTTCACTATTCTTTGATCATGGCCTTCTTGAATGAGGAAGATACAAAAAGTCTAAAACAGAAAATCCCCCTGTTGTGGGTTTAGGGTCAGACTAGCCTGACTTGGATGTGAGTTTTGGTTCTACAGTTCACTAACTTTCTGAATCAAGGCAAATCCTTTAAACTTTCTGAACCTCCCTTTATTTGTGTATAAAACAGGGATAACAGTGATACCTTTTGGGGGTATGGTAAGGATTCTACAGTAAAATAAATGTAAGCTATGCATTTAATATGCATATTAATTTGGGTTTAAGACATGAAGCATATTAGGGATAAAACAACCACCACAGACATCTAGGCAAAAACATTAGCTTAAAATTAAAATAATAAGAACAACAACAACAAAACTCCTAAAAAAGTAGAAAGGCCCATTAATATCCTAAAGATTTACTACAAGTTCCCAGATGGCAGAGGTCAGGGATCTAGAGCAAATTTGGGCAGAATTCATTTCTCCTGCCTCTGCTTCAATGCCTACAGTTATACAGAGAAGACAAGCTTGGTCGCCCCAGACCTGAATCCACTGTTTTTGTCCCAAGGAACCCTCTGGCCCTTTGTCACCTCTCCGCTTGCTGGTCGGGCCTCATTCAGCATCGAGCGTCACCACCTGTGTTATGTCCGTTACAGCCCAGCCCCCTGTGGAAGTGAGTGCTGCTTTTAGGCTGTTCCTCAGTCCCTAAATCTATCATAGCACTAAGGCCAGTGAGCTGCAGGGGCAACGGGGGTCAGAAACAGAAGGCAGTACCTGGCTCTGTTCCCTCCTTGTGTCTGAAGCCTTTGCAGCAAGTCCCCGGAGAGGGGTGGGGGACATGCACCCCACCCCCGGAGGCCCTCTGCCCCCGTGTGAGGTGGTGGCCCTGCAGCCTCACCTGGGAGCTGGTTGGAAACGCAGGATCCCAAGCTGCCTCGTACCTGCCCCGTCACAGCCTGCGATGGGCCGCCAGGCGGTCCTTAAGATGCGAGGGTTTGTGAGCCTCTTTCTGGATCACGTTCCTCATCTCAGAGGTGGAGAGACCAGGGTCTGAGGGGTTAGAAAGATAAGGGTTAAAGCTGTGAGCTGCTGAGCCCATTACCTCAGTGGCGTTAGGACCTAACTCTGAAGAATTCAGCGCTTCTGAGCCAGGGCAGCTTATTACAAAGTTGGTCAGGAGGCTTTTTTGTCACATTACTGGAGCTGGCTCCATAAAGACCAACACACACAGGTGTATACACACAAGTACACCTATGCACGCATGCAAACACAGAGACTTGCGCGCACGCATAAACACACACACACACACACACACACGCACACACACACACTATGGCACTCCAGGAGTCTGTTTAAAGATAAGAGTCTTCCTTACATAAAGGTGGGTTCCCGTACCCACGTGGAAAACCTAAGAATCCCCACCTGGCTTCCTCCTTTCTCTCTCACACTCTGATCATGTACCTTTGCATTTCGAGAGGACGGGCTCAGACGAGAAGAGAGAGCAAATGTCACGTTTGTTGGCAACAAAATGACGCTCTGAACGAAAACAGGAGACCTGCCGTTTCCTAGGCTGTGTCCTCGGATGTCTGTGGAGCGAGTTGGCCCAGCAGGGGAATGGTTCGTTCACGAGTGTTACGATGTGTTCTCGCACAGAGAAGCAGATCCTCACCTTTAACGCTGCTGTCTGTTTCCCCCTAAGTGCCGCGGAAGCATGTCAGGCTTTCCCGCAGCCTCCGGAGCTCCCAGGACCTCGAGGTGATTCTGTGGAGAGTGGAGATGCTGGTCCAGCGTGTGCTTGTCCTTCTTGCAGGTGGGCTGCTTGGGGAGAAGGGCTGCCCAGTGGCCCCGCCAGGCGGGCAGCGAGGTGGTCAGGTGCCCCTGATTTTCTCCTGGGCTCAAGCGCAGCCTTGCCGGTTTCCAAGGCTCTGAGTCTCCCCAGCCTCCCCACCCCCGGGCTGCGACCTTCTCCAGTCAGCTGAATGGCCCTTCCCTGACCGAGCTCGGCTTCTGGGCTGTGTCTCTGCTCCTGGAATGTGCTTCCTTGTGTTTGTGGCCTGACCTTCAGCTGTTCCCTGCGGCTAGAGCTGGGCGGCTCTTCCAGGAGGGATGCCTGCATCCCCTTCACTGGCAGTGACCTTGAGTTGACCTCTATCAAATGCAGTGTTAATGCTCCTATTTCTTCTTTTTTTTTATGGATATAGGAAACAAGTTTATTTAATAATTAACAAATATTATGTTTAGTGGTATTACAGAGAACTACAGTCTATGGCGGATATCCAAACACTGAATAAACGTGGGTGAACATTAGTAGAAAGTATTTGAATAAGGTAACAGTCATATCTCCCAGCAAGGTTAACAGCACTCCCAGAATCACGTGAAGAAGCTGCCAACTGAAGCATTTGTTTTGCTTCCCAAATGTGTTACTTTTTGTAACACCACTCATAGGATTTGTATAACGTATATGATGCATGTAAATGTATTGATATTTATTTAATTTGCAAGAATGACTCACTGTTAGCAGCAGATGGGGCCATGAACACACACCTATAACATGGCAACAGCTACAAGCAACGTGGGCTGATTGGATGGTGACCACTTCTCTCTTGACTTCAACCTTCAGCTCCACGTGTCAGCAAAACCTTACAGAGCAAAGCTCAATGGAATTCTGGCACAGACATGGTAAATCAGGGCAAGTGCAACTAACTCCCGTGCCAGGACTAGCTCGCTCTCACTGATTGCTGGTCCCATGCCTGCCGTGGCCGACCTTTGATGAGTCCTTTGCCTTTTACCCTCTTCCCAGCGCTGACTAGTTCCCATTCACTTGGTGAGACCTCCTGAGCTCTGAATGCTGCTTCTCTCTAGTTGTTCCTTCTCAGGCTTCCCCCACACACTTCCCTAATGCTCCTATTTCTTAAGCCTCCCCCCTCCCCTGGCGTCAGTCTTCCTTGAAGGCAGCATCCTTTTCTTCCTCTCCTGCATGTGCCCAGTGCCTGGGGTAGAAGATCGTTCCACTGACCGGGGCTGGGTGACCCATGCAGTGACCCGAGTCCCAGAACACGTTCTCTAAAGTCCTGGCACTCAGTGCTTGTATTTTAGCTTTTTGTGGCCCTTCCTGCAGTCGTCTGCCGCTTCACTGAGAGCAGGATCTGTCACTCATTCAGTTCTGTCTCCATGATGCTCAGAGTAGAGTCTATGCTAGTGAGTCATTAATACTTACATTGTAAATGAGTTCACTCGTTTGAGATCCTGCTTGTCAAATCCACTACTACAGATTTCAGTGAAATTTCCTCTTCATGCCATTGCTGAAGGAAAGTTCCATGAGCGGCCTTACAGGGCTGCTGGGTGATTTTCAGGACTTTCTCTAAGGTGTAAACTCTGGTCTCCGAGCACTTCTGAGTCCATAGACTGGACCAGCAGTGCTGGAATGACTCTGCCTGTGCACGTGTGCTGCTGCCTTTTCACGCCTGGTCTCCTGAATGAGGCTGCAGAGAACCTCTCGGTGCTGTCGGGCCTGAGGTCCTTGACAGCAGGGGCAGCAGGAGTGCTGCGGAGACGGATGTGAGCGCAGATGAGGACATGGGTAAGCCAAGGGTGGGCTGATCAGGAAGAGAGAGGAGCTGGGGTCAGCGGAGCGGGCCGTGAGCCCTGGGCCCTGCATGGAGCCTGCCAGGCTGGCCCTGAACCCGTCCCAGGTGCATCCGACACACCGTCTATTCTGCTTCCTCCTCCTGACTTACTCTCAGGAGGCTGTTATTATCTAGATAGATGTTACCTCCTCTGGGAAGCTCTTCTTGGCCTCCACTCCTGGGGTCAGGGGCCCTGCATTAGGCCCCTTGGCTGTGCCCTGTGGGGTGGCCGGCCCGTGGTCTCCTCACGACCGGGCCTGCCTGTTGATTAGCAGAAACCCAGCGTGTGGGGACTGGAACACATGCTGGCAGATGTTTGCTGAATGAAGGAATGAGCACGTGCCAGGAGCCCTCACTGCTTGTATCTCTGACCCCTGGGACTCCTGCCTGTGCGGGATCCGTGGGGTTTTACCTGACGTCCTGGCGGGAATGTCCGGCCACGGCCAGCAGCGGATGGGCCCAGGTGTGTCACTGAACGGGTGTGCGGGGCTGGAGGACACCGTGGAGAGCTTGCTCGGGACACAGGGTAGGCGCGGCCAGGTCCACCACAGGGAGAGCGGTCTGGGGACCCAGGGTGGTTAACTGGGGGATGCAGGCGGCAGAGACTGGGAGCCAGGAGTCGGATCAGCCCCCACCTGGGGCGTTGGGAGAAGAGGCCAGCCTTGGGTAGGAACCAGCATGTCAAATACCTTTGCAAACAAACGTAAACAAATGAGGTTTGCTCAGGGCAGTCTTGGTTTTCACCTACGGCCTGGAGTAGAGACAAGCAGAAGGGCCGCAGTTGGAAGGTGGGTCGCATGCCCCCCATCCTCCACCAGGGGCTCCACCGGCTCGTCACAGCCAGCCTATGCCTCCGCTGTCACTGAACACTCCTAACGCCACTGTGCCTTGTCCAGGTCACGGCCAGGATGTGGGCCTGCTCCTCACAGGCCTGTCCCTCTGCCCCCGCCCCACCCCGCCGCCAGTTCGCTGCCGCCCGGAACCACGAGCTCTCCCTAAAGGAGGTGGCTGGTCATGGGGTCAGTGAGGGACTCTGGCCAGCAGCCTCCATCCCGCCGTCACTCTGCTCTCCTCACCCGTTTTCCCAGGACCACAGGTGCCTCCTGCAACCAGGCTGCCCGCAGGCCCGCCCCGCCCCTGCCCCGCCCCCA